CAAATACATTTTGTCAGCAAACGTGCAATAATGATAGTTTAAAAATAACAAATACATACAGAGAAAATATTTACAATGCTTTATATTATTTGAAAATTAATCTTCCAAAAACTTTTGTAAACTTAATTATGAGTTTAGGTAAGTTTATCTAAATTAATACTATTTTAGTGCTACATTTTATTAAAGTAAAATGTTTATTTAAGATTATTAACTTTATTAAACATTTTTTTCATTAAGAATTAATAAATACAATATTTATATTATCTAATTCAGATTACTGAATGTTTTTAGATGTTGTAGGAATGACTAATTTTGTTGGTAAACCATTACTTTGTTCAGTTATTAATCCCTTTGAATGTCCTTGTATGTTTGGTATGAAAAATCGAAACCGACTTCATATTTATCACAAATTCATTAATGAGTTTCGTAATATTGAAAAAGAAGTAGTAAGATTTTTAACTATTACCACATTCTAGACTTAAGTTTAGAATGTATTAAACAAATTTTATAATATCGTAATTATCATTATATATTTAAAACTCGACTATCAATATTAATAGGTTCAAAATCAGACATTAAATCAAGATGATGACTTTACAGTAGTATTGCAACCGTTCACTGAAGACCTAATTTGGCCAGTACTAAAAAATGGTAACACCGATATGTCATTGTTATCAGCAGATTGTTTTCACTTAAGTCAAAAAGGTTACGCAAGAGGTATTTTTAAATTTCATTACAGTAATATAAATTTAGTAGTAAATATAAAAATAAATTCTTAATAGGAAATTACAAAAGTATTAAAATTAAGGGGTCATAAAATTTAATAATCAGTAATTGTAACACATTGTAATAGTCGCCAAAATAATTTATTTGATTAAAGAATTATTCATACGTATGACTTTTATCTACATTTACATCAATGTTGATATATTAAAAAATATCAGTGTTGGCACTAATTAATCTACGTTGATAAAGCAAACATTTCATATTTTTATTACATTAAATAACCAAAATTTTACAAGAGTAAACTGATATA